GATATTCGAACGTAAGTATGTAAATTTTTAACATCCGTGAGTGAATACGATTGGAACTGTGTAAATCTTTCTAGTACATACGTAGGCCATCACTGGCGGAGAACAACACAAGAGGAGAACATGAATAAAATGCAGCCACGCAGCGTGAGTACGTTGCCTGGAGTAAGTACTACAAGCGTTTGAGAGTTGAAAGAAGCAACTCGAGAAGGCGAGTAAATCTGACGGCGCCCGAGAGAACAGAAGGAGAAGAGAAGGAGGAAGAAGAGAAAGAAGATTGAGAAATAGAAGTAGAAGAAGAAAGAGGGCTGAGAAAATGTAAAAGGAAACAAAGGAAGGGGAGAAGAAACGTTGTTCCCAAGAGAGGGTGGAGATGAACCGGGGAGATACTAATCGGTATTTCTTGATAGAGAGAGGAAGGGGGACAGAAGAAATTGGTGAGAACGAAAGTAGGAGGAAGTGAGATAAAATTTTAAGATACCGAGCGTGGCGGTCGCGTGGCGTGCAAGCGACTACGCATGCGCATGTGCTAGCGTCACGCTCAATTTACCTCGCTTATCAACATACTAATCGCACGTTAATTTCCTATCCTGTATAATTAATTTTCCATCGCACATTTGTTCAAAATTTCCACATTTTATCATAATATCGAATCGAATATTTCGAAAACGATCGTATTATCTTATTTTTCATCCCTGGTCATGAAATTAGTAGAAATTCCAGACACAAAATAATTTTTTTAAGAAATTATCGTTGTTACGATGAAAAAAACTTGTCCACTTTTACACATTTTTCATTCTGGATAAAAAGTGGAAGGATAAACGTACTCGAATAATAAGATCTATCGGAGAAACATTTCGGCGGGGCAGTTTGCTAGGAAGAAAGACAGACGATGCGAAAACTCGACCCAGAACCAATGGACATTGAAGAGGGACAGTGGCACGCGCGTTACAGCATTCTCCGGAAGAATGGCAAAAAAGTATGAAACGCTACCGTACCTGGCAGCGACCACGAAACGAGTCGCTTGTTTTCGTTACTTATAACGATTACAACGGTACCGAGAGTACTACGATTCCAGTGCATCAGGCTTGTGGATTGAAGCCATTGGAACGCGGTGAAAACGAAAAAAAACCGGTATACACCATATTCGGTAACTGTTACCACGCTGCATCGACAACTCGTCAACGACTGGCGCGCGCGCACCTATGTGCTTGGAAAGTGCGCATACGTTTCTGCGCTTCTCGAAACTCGAAAAAATCGCGCAAAAAAGTCTGACCGAATTGAGCGTATGCGCACGCCTGCGAACATTTTTTACTGTGAATAGATGACTCGATGTCATCGAGCTTGTAAAATATCGTTGCGTGATATAAAAAAGCTTTTACAAGATTATTTACTGCATTGTAACGCACGAATCGACGATAATTGATCTGAACAGATATAAATAACAAAATTTTAAGAGAAGGAAAAATAAAGTTATTTCAATAATTTAATGAGATATTATATAATGGATCAATTATAATAATTACGAATAAATGTTATTTAAACATTTTAAATAAAATTATTACTTAAAGTAACTTTACTCGAAATTTTACCTCAACTCTTAATCTGACAATCACAAATAAAAACAATTTTTTACCAACAAAAATTCTTGATTTTTATAAAATTAAAAATCCATGTCTAATAATTATCAACCGATACAAAATGAAAATTATAAAATAATATTTTTTAACATTCGTCACAGTTCGCATTTGAACATTTGGGAAGCTTCATTATCATCGGATAGTGGATCGCAGGTATTGTTTATTCCCGAACACACGCACGCGTTGGCACATCAAAACAAGGACGAAAAGGAAGCTACAGGTTTTCGAAGGTTTGTTCTGGTCAGGCCCAAAACGATCGGGAACGGTGGCTTGTTCGGTTTGTAGGTTCGTGTGCCACGGGGCCAGTAGGCTCCCCCTTACATGGAAAGTATTGGTGCGCACGCGCGAATCGTCTTACCTTGGCCACGGTCCCTCGTGCGAGTTTACACGTTAATCCATTCGTGCAAATTGCGCGCACGAATCATCCTATCGTTGCGTTTTGCAATTTCATCCACACCTTTGCCAAACCCTATCTGATCTGCGTTCCTTCGAGGAACATCTTTCCAAAGATATTACCTCGCCTCTCTAACCTCTCTCGGTATGCCATTCATAGTTATTGGACGTCGATTTGAATTTCTAACTTTTCTTTCTTGCATGCCACAAAAATAGACGAATATTTATTGAATTTGAATAATATTTTTTAATTCTCTAATTATAAATCCCAGCTGCAAATCTCTGTTGCTATCTAATAATCGATTATAAAAATGCATATATAAACGATACATCAAATTTCCTTTCTTTACGTCTTAATTTTTCCATCAAAAATATTCGAACAAGAATTCTAACAAGCGTTTAAAAGAAACACGAAACAAAATAAAAGAATCGCCAACACGAGAACAACGTAGTACAAAGAGGGGATAAATCAACAGGAATTAGATAAGTAATTGACAAATAACTTTCTGTCCAAATTACCGGGGATGTCGACTCGACCATTAATTGGTCCTCCGGTAATTATGATACGTCGCGTATCGCACCCGAAAGCAGCCGCGTGTGCGTGCACGCTGACGATTCTACACTCTTGAGAACTTGATTGAAAAAAAAGAAAAAAAAAAAAAAAAAAAAAAAAAAAAAAAAAAAAAA